AACAAGCTGTTAATTATCTCTCTTGATAATTTTCGAAGATATCTTTGCCTGGGATAAAATTGTTTTTGTGTCAAAATAAATTGTTGACATCACAAGTTTTAAATTTTTTTTTTCTTTGTTTCACATCTAATTTCTTTTGGAACACAGCACACATGAAATCCTTGAGGTTTGAGTAACACCAACTTAAACTGACGATTTCGAAATTCTGGCAAATGACATCGCTTTTTAAACCTCAAAGTGAAAGAGCCTTACCTCTATTCCGAAGGCATCCGACGGTTACAATTCTTTTGGGGAATATCAAACAGTCTTGTTTCTTGATGACACATGGTGTATGATAAGCGTGTAAGGCGTGTTGAAAGTTACGATTGTTACTTTTTGATGAGTACATTCCGTATTTCAAAGTGCCATGTCAGCAAGCATTTATTGTATCCCGCTTCAAATTAAAAATTTTAGGGTTACATATAAAAGGGCAAATCATAACTCAATAACACTTTATGCGATCAAACTTTTTGTAACACAAAATTCTCTTTGCAATTCATCTTCTTCAAATGTTCTTTACTCAAATCATTAACAATGGCGACTACTTCATCACCAACTACAGACGAAATAATCAGTGTTCCGATTCTAAAGATTCAGGGTTCCAACTACCAAGTAGAATCGGATTTGTCAAAGTATCCGGAGGAACTTCACATGCTTGTGGTTGCTTTACAGAATTCAGTTTTGTCTAAAGCAATGTTTGATTCATTTGCTGCTCCGATGTCTTGGTTGTCAAAGGCGGGTTCTACTGCATCATACAACAAGGAGACAGGTTGTGTGGAATTCACAATGGTTCATGATACGAGAATTAGGGTCTTCAAGCGGTTATTTTGCAAGATTTTGGGAATTCCGAATTCTGGTCCGTATGATGAACTTTCATCTAAACAAGTGGTGTTCATGTTCAACGAGATGGGTCATCAACCTCCATTGACGCGTATCAGTGATTTCAAGAAGTCGGGGTTACCAACAATATGGAATTTTTTGTTTGGCATCTTTCTTCGATGTCTTACTGGAAGAACTGTGGGGCTTGATAAAGGAAGGATGGAGGTATATGCAATGGTAGCTGGGTTGTATTATGATTTGCAAGTCGATTACTCTGAACAATTATGGACAGAGTTCTTAACAAGCATTTCGAAGACGAGTGCTAAGCAGGGGATTTCTTGTGCACGATATTGGAGTCTGATAGTCCAATATGTCTATCAGAAGGAGAAAATCAAAGTTCCAGAATACGAAGAGAAAGCAGTTTTTCACATGTATGGTAGTCCGAAGGAGGTGCATGATGATCTGGCTATCTTTATAACAATTGCTCGCATTCCGGATGCAATGCTCAAGAAGGTGGATCCAACGAATGATGTGTTGGTGTCATATTTGCAATCTATTGACACAACAGTCGTTACTGGTTTGTTACAACATGAAGTGAAGAAGAAGTCGAAGAAATCAAAGAAGACAGAGGGTGAGGCTTTGGAAAAAGAGGTGAAAGCAGAACCAAAGAATCAAGATTCAATAGCTATATCTAGTACTGTCGAAGAGGTGTCTCCAATTTTAACCTTAGTGGTTGATACACCCGTAATTGAAGCGTCTCCATCAAAATAAATGATTCCATCGAAGACGGGTGTTTTTCAAAGAATCAAAATCAAGAGAAAATCTCAGTTGGTGAAGAAAATATAGGTTACACATCAAGGGGTCACAGTTCGAGAAATTCCAGCTCCGGTGTCTCCATCTTCTAAGAAACGAAGGGCTGGAGATGTGGCAAAATTTTTAAAGAAATCCCAACGAATCTGTCACACCCCAAAACCAAGAACGGCGGAAACGTTCTGGGGCAGAGGACGTCATGTATAGTATCACAACACAGTAAATGTAAATAAGCATACAACATCATCCATTGCATTAAATATATAATTTTAATACAAGCGTGTTCTGTACAGTTATAGACACCAAAATAATGTAAATCAAAATAATAAGATGAGTCTTGAATACGTTCCATCTTCTCAAAAGCTGGCCTCGGTACCTGTCTACTGATGATCTGAGAATACAGGTTATTTTGAAAGAGTTTATCAGCATTAAGGTGGTGAGTTCATAAGTATTTTAGTATCAATGTTTGTTGTCAAAAATGATTGAACCTGTCTCAATGTATAAGTTTGTAAAATGTAGGTAAGTGTTTGAAAGTGTTTGTAAAGTTTGAATCTCTCAGAAAATCCTATATTTTCTATTAAAGTAGCCTTCTACCAAGGCCTAACTGTTTTGTATGCTCGTTTGATGTAAAAGTGAGTAATTTACCAAGTGTAACTATCATTTAATAAAATAAAGTTTGTACATTAATGTTTAAGTGAGGTTATCACTAAAATATGTAATGGGTAAATCATTGTAGTACTGTAGTTTTGTATAATAGCAACTACTGTTGTACTAACTACCTTAAACCGGATTTATATTGAGGTAAAATGTAATAAATTGCACCATGCTATCGACTGGTAACAACGGCATACCAATGGTCATAATAACGGAATGACGTTTGGCACCCGCAGACCTGCAGGTCCGGCTGTAGCTAGCAGCAAGGAGTAGGATAGTCAATCCAGTATAGATCTATACGCAAACTCACGCTCTTCCTCCAAGAGAATTCTTGCTACAACTCGGGACATGACATTTAAGGCATGCTCCGATACAGTGGATCACAATTGTTAATGTATTCTCCTATATGTAATGTAATGTTTCTAGTTCTAGTATAGTTATATATGTTCTCCTCTTAGTATAGTTGTATATGTTCTCGTAGTATAGTTGTATATGTTCTCTTCCTAGTATAGTTGTATATGGACTCATGAATGAACTGACTCATTGATCTCGCAGTTGTAATAGTATGATCCTGTGTTACCCCGATGGTAACTAACTATTGATGTACTGATAAGTATGAATATGGAAGTACTTTTATGTCTATACATGTATATATGATATATAACTAATATTGAAACGACCCTTGGATGGTCACCCGAAACCCCACCAGACCACATCCAAATCGAGGAAAAGGAAATAGGACGGATGGCCTTCCTAAGCCCTTTAAACATTAATTATATATCTATACATATATGGGCATGCAATTTATAATATAAAAGCATAAATAAGTTCTTATAAGGTATTTTAAACATAAATATTAGTTCAAGAAAAGATCGACTTGATGTCAATCTATAAAACAATTTGAAGGCATAAGTTTGATAAAACAGTTTAAGTATAAGGAACATTTTTGTGAATCACAGTTGCAAATAAGTTTGAAAAGTAAAAGAGTTTGTAAAACATTTTAAAGTAAAACAGTTTGATAAACAGTTTGAACAGTGAATAAATCATTGGTTTTCTAGTTATTAATCACATGTGATTAATGCAATCACATGTGATTGAAGCAATAACTATAAGTATTTAACTTGTATTCCCCCCCCCCCCATAAAGTATTTAAAACATTTAAAATCATTTCAAAGGTTGATTAAAGGGGTATGAACTCACTTGTGGTGAGCTGTTTGAATTGCAGTGTCGGATACCGTGCTAGGTGGCAAACGGAGACTTGTTTACACGCACGAGCCTAGTTATCATATAATAAGCATATATATAACTAATTAGCCAAATAATAACTTAACAAATAAGTTGGGACACTTAGGAACATGAAAACACTTTGTATGAATGTTATAGGTCCTAAGGGTTGCATCTAAGTCGATACGGGACAAAGCAAAAGGGGTTTAATGCACCAATGACCTTATATAAGATTTTACCACCCAACAAACCCCAAGTGAGGAGCTTACGGCCGTAAACCCATGAGTTTATGGCCGTGAACTCCTCACTTGGTGGTTTTGGGTGTTTAAGGGTGCTATATTGACCCTAGAATAAGCCTAGCTTTTTGGAATAATCCTTGAAGTAGTTTAAGGCCCTAGAATGCTCCATAGAGGAGTTTACAGCCTAATGACCATATCCCCTAGAGTTTACGGCCGTAAAATCCTATGGGGTGTTCGTTTTAATTCATTTGAGGCACTTGCACATGTAGGATAACTTTCATGTTTTTGTCTAAGGCTAATGGGGACAATAGGCACACATTGGTGCCTTTACTTGGAGTTTACGGCCCAAGTGATGTTCCTTGGCCGTAAACTCCCTTTAAGAGATGGTTTTGATGTAGTTTGATCCTCATTCAAGTCCTATGTTTTCAAGGGTAATAGTCTTAAGGCCTTAGGGGTGTTTAGGGTACATTTTGCCCTAGAAAAAGGGGTTTACGGCCCAAGAGATATGCTTGGCCGTAATCTCCTATAAACCCATGATTTTGAAGTGTTTTGGTGTCCAAAATTGCTGCAAGCATTAGAGGGTAAATGCCTTAAGCCTTAAGGGTGGTTTAGGGCTCACCTTGGCCCTTGGAAATGGTGTTTACGGTCCAAGAACTCTTGGGCCGTAAATTCCAAAAGACTTATGATCTTGGATGATGTCTAGCCTCTAACGATCCTACAATAAGTCCTAAACAGTTTGCCTAACAAGGAATCGGGACTAGGTAGCCTTAAAGCTCCATTTTGGAGTTTACTCCCCAAGAACGTTCTTGGGCGGTAAACTCCCGGATCTTGCATTTTTGACAAGTAAATGATGTTATAAAGCATAAAACAAGTAATGAAACACATCTAGGAAAGTAGACTCACAATATGGGATGAAAACCCGAAGATCCGTGAGAGAGAAAGTGGCTTTTTTCTATTTGGAATTGTGAATAATGAATTAATTTAATTCAAAAATCTATTTATAGTCCTGAAATATTTTGTCAGAAAATATTTTTATTCCGGATATTGGACTGTAACATTATGAAACTTGGAATGCTCAAATTTCACAAAAACAGGAGCATCCACTCTCCTGATATTTCCTTAAACGTAAACCCTAATGTACACAAACTTGTTCGGAAAAGTATGAAAATCACTGAAACTGAACTAGCTTCTATTGAATAGATAATGTTCGTACAAATGGAAATTTCGGGTTGTCACAGAATCGAAGAAGTGAATCAAGTTCCTGAGACTCCCGAAGATGAAATTCCTAAAGAAGTAGAGATCATTCAGTCTACTGATATTTCGAAGCCTGCTGATGTAAAGCTCATTGAACCAACTTCTTTACCTCAGGTTACATCCACAACTGATTCTCCAACATTTCAATCAATTATGGATCAACCATTCACCACTATCTTCTCAACACAATCAACTGATCCACCCAATCCATCGTCACCTATTGCTGAAACCATGGTTGTGGATGATGAAACTGATAACGAAGGCTTTGGAGGAACGTTCGAAGCTATTTCTTTTGATAAAGCTGAAGAAGATTTCCCTGATCATATGCTGATGACCATGAAGCAGTTCAAGATTTTGAATTCAAAACTGAATTCTATCTTGCAATCTCAAGCAGATGTGGGAAGTGCTGGAATTACCATCATGGATGTTGATTCCATAATGAAGGAAATGGAAGGCAGGGTTATTTCGAAGGCATCAGGATTAATTCGTGATTCTGAAAGACGAGTTCTTGAGATGACTGATCAGAATGATAATTCTACAGAGAATCGAATAAATTCTCTCAGGTCTGACTTTATGAAGGAGGTGAAGGAATTGAAGATTGTTACGAAGGAGCGTCATGTGCTCTTCGTACAAGAAGTTAAGAAGGTTCGTGAAGATGTTAATATGCAGATTCGCGAACTTCGTGAAGAAATGACGAAGGAGGTTCAGAACATTCAACAAGGGTATGAATCAGCAGACCAGAAGATCGACATTATTTGTGATGCGGTTGTTCAATGTGTTAAAATGTTCGAACAAATGAATCCTCAGATGATCTCTCTTTCAGCCAAAGAAGAACAAAATTTTGGAGAGTTGGTCAAACAGTTGAAAGAACTCCAAGAACTGTCTTCGAAATCTATCTCTCCAATTGTTTCTCAAGAATTTCTTTTTCAGAAATTCACACATTTCGAAGCCATCCTACACAAACACCTTCCTCCATTACTTCGTATATCAAGCCTTTTACCAAACGTATCATATGCCCTACCTACTGTCACAGGGGTGCAAGGGGGAGAAAAGGTTGGTCATGCAAAGTCTGGGGAACATGTGAAGACAACTGAAGATACGAAGGTGGTAGGAAAAGTGTATCCTTCGAAAGTGGTTGTAAAGCCAACAATTGTTTCAGCTACTCCAGTTATTTCGACTGTGACTACAACAGTTCCAATTTCAAAACCTATTGCAAAAGGTATTGTATTTGAGAAACAGAGTGATGTCTCTTCGTCAAAGAATATAGCTCCTTCAAATGTTAAAGATAAGGGAAAAGGAGTTTTGGTTGAGAAGTCTAATAAAGAGAAGAAAGCCGAGGTGGCAACTAAGGTTGAAAGAATGAGGCAAGTTGAAAGTATAATTAGACAAAGAGCTTTCGAAGGTTCAAATGTTGATAAGGGTGATCCTTCGAAAGTGTACAATTACGAAACAATAGAATCCAGGGTGATGTTCGATCACATGTATTCTTTTGCAAAGATTCCAAAGAAAAGCTTTGTGGTGACAAATACTAATTTTGGTCAACTTGATTTTCCGATCAACGAAATGATGTTCGTTATGCCACAGTTCAAGGTTGAGACAAAGTCTATGGATATCGAAGAGGGAAAGAAGATGAAGATAAGATTTCATGCTGTATTAGCAAAGGCTCAAGAAGAAGTATGGTTCTTGGAGAAGATCAAGAAGGTGATATCTATAAAAAGGGATGTCATTTTCGAAGGGAAGATTCAAAATCTGAAATATATTGTGACAAGAGCAAGTGGAAAGTTACAAGAGTTTACTGTGGCAGACTTTCCTTTGATGAGTACTTATGATCTCATCAACATTGCCTTGATACTTAAAGACAAGTCATTTTCTTTTCTCCAAGAAACAAAACCAGATGTTTTCAGTCTTGGGTGTAGGCACATAAAAATATTTTTGGAGAATTATTTTGAGTGCTTAGCTCAAACTGATATCGAACTTGCTACTGTTAAAGGCTTCGACATAACTGCACCAATGGCTCCGACAAAGAAACAGATTGAGTTGAAAAAGTACGAAGACAGTGAAATATGTTTAAAGCCATTGGGGATTGTTTTTGCAGGAAAAGACAAAGCTGGAAGAGCTAAAAGGTTCTTATTTCAAACTTCTGAAGTGGAGAGATGCACAAATTCACAATATACGAACTTAATTGTTTGTTTGAGTCATTGCAAGAAGAACTCAGAAGGAGAAAAGAAAGAGATAAAGAAAGTTATCTCTTGGTACATGGAAATCCGAAGGGTGCTGATGTATGCCGTTCAACTACTAACTTCATGAAGACATCGACCTTTATTCCAAAGGGGGAGATTGTTAGGGTCTAAATGTTGTAATATGTCGAAGTGTTAGTTAGGTTGTTACGAAGTATCTTTTGTCTTCGTAAGAAGTGTCTTCGGATGTAATGTTATTTTTACTAAGGCATTATAATGAATAGTCTATGTCACACCCCAAAACCAAGAACGGCGAAAACGTTCTGGGGCGGAGGACGTCATGTATAATATCAACAACAATGTAAACTAGTAAACAAGCAACAACATCATCCATTGCATTAATAAAATAATTATTATACAATTGTATTCTGTCAAATTTTGATAAACACTAAAGCATAAATCAAAATGAAAGATAAGTCTTGAATGAGCTCCATCTTCCTTTCTCCATGCATCGGTACCTGTCTATGATGACCTGAGGATACAAGTAATTTTGAAAGCGAGTATCAGCTATAAAGCTGGTGGGATCATAAGTATTAATGTGTCTTAATTTGTAAAAACTTATAATTTTTAAGACTTGACATTGCTTTGAAAGAAAGCTCGTATACGTATGAAAATGTTTGTAGCTCAACTGTAAATGTTTGAAAAGCCCTAGAAATCCCTATGATTCCTATTAGTAACAAAAGGAGTCTTCTACCAAGACTTAACTGTTCTATGTGTGTCTCTTGTAAGAGTATGTATTTTTCCAAAGTATAACTATCATTATCCAAAAATATAGTTTGTACATTTACGTTTAAGTGAGGTTATCACTAAAAATATGTACTGGAAAAATTAACGTAGTACTAAACGTAGCTCTAAAAGGACTACTACCATACTAACTACCTCAAGCCGGATTTTAGGCAAAGGCACTATGTGATAAATTGCGCCATACTATCGACTAGTAACAACGACATAATGAATGATCGTAATAAAGAAATGACGTTTGGCACCCGTAGATCTGCAGATCCCACTGTAGCTGGCAGTAAGGTGTAGGATGGTCAATCCATTATAGAATCTATACGCAAACTCAACGCCCCCCCCTTCAAGAGACTCTGGCCGCAACTCAAGTCATGAGTTTTTAAGTCATGCTCCGATTTAATCACAGTAATCAACGTATTCTCGTATATGTAATGTAATGTACTATTCTAGCTGTAATGTAATGAACTGTTCTAGCAAGTATAGTAATGTAATGAACTGTAATGTTCTATGTGTGCTAGCTGTAATGTGTGTTCTCTCTATCTAGCAAGTATAGTAATGTAATGAACTGTAATGTTCTACGTGTGCTAGCTGTAATGTGTGTTTTCTCTATCTAGCAAGTATAGTAATGTAATGAACTGTAATGTTCTACGTGTGCTAGCTGTAATGTGTGTTCTCTCTATCTAGCAAGTATAGTAATGTAAACGTTATAGTATAGTTGTACATGTTCTCGTCTTAGTATAGCTGTATATGTAATGTACAGTAATGTTCTAGAAAGTATTGACTCATGAATGAACTGACTCATTGTATGATATCGCGTTCTATTAATAGTTCTAGTATCTTCCTGAACTACCCATATGGTAGCTTACTAGTAATCTAAGTGGTATGTATGGACGTGGATGTATACCCTTGCTACCCAAGGGCATAGGATGAAGCTGGAAAGACCTTTTATGACTTTATATGTACACATGATATATAACTAATATTTAAACGACCTTCGGACGAGTATCCGATATCCCACCAGACCACATCTCAAGCGCGAAAAGGAAATAGGGTGGATAGTCTTCCTAAGTCTTTTAAACATTTCTTATATAACTATACATATAGAGGAATGCAATTTATAATATAAGAGCATAAATAAATTTTGTAAGACATTTGAAATATAAGTATTATTTTTAAGAAAAGATCGACTTGATGTCAATCTACAAAACAATTTAAAGGCATAAGTATGATAAAACAGTTTTGAGTATAAGGAAAAACATCGTTTGAAACACAGTTGTAAATGAGTTTGAAAGGCAATGTACAGAGTAAGATGTACAGTGTAATAAGTATTTTAAATCATATAAAATGTTTATAAAAATCATTTGAAGGAAACTATTTGGTAAAACGGCTAATGAGTAGCCAAATCTTTTGAATGCTGTATATTAATCACATGTGATTGATGTAATAAGTAATATAATCCTACTTATTAATCACATGTGATTGACATAATAAGTAGCATGATTCTACTTGTATCCCCCCCATAAAACATTTAAAATAGTTTAAAACATTAGTTAAGGGGTATGAACTCACCTGCAGTATGAGACTGGAATTGAACGGCTGTTATCGTATGGAAGGATCGGATAAGTGCTTGGTGTCAAGTGAAGACTTAGACACACACAATGATCCTAATTACATATGAAACATATGTATATAAATAATTAGTGATTATAAAACTAATTATACAAGTAATAACATTTAAGCGCGAGGACAACACTTTTGGTCAAGTGCTAGGAGGCTAATGGGTTGCAACAAAGAAGTGCAATGCCCCTAATGGAAGTTTAAGGTCAAAAGACCACATTCATTGGAGTTTACGGCCCTTGGAAGTAAGCTCCTGGCCGTAAACTCTCAACCAAGTCATGAAATGGAGCTTAGAAATACTACAACCTTAGAGGGGAATTGTTTCTAGGCTTAACAAGAGTTTAAGGTACCATATTGACTCCTAAGGGGAGTTTACGGCCCAAAGACCCTTTTCCCTTGGAGTTTATGGCCATAAACTCCCTTGGGAGGGTTCTTATTGTTCTTTCAAGTCTCCAACCACTCTAGGAACAAGTCTAGGCTTCAACACTTGGCTTAAGGAAGGTTTAAGGCACCAAATGGAACCATTTGATGGATTTTACGGCCATAGAACTCTTTGGGCCGTAAACTCCCTCACACATGAGGTTCTAAGAATTTTAACTAGCCCACAACTCATCTAGGGACTTGCCCTAAAAGTCTCTTGGCCTAAGGAAGTGTATAGGGTGTCCTTTGACCCCTTTAAAGGAGTTTACGGCCCAAGAAATACTCTTGGCCGTAAACTCTTCAACAATTATGCTTTTCATGATTTTTCTAGGTCCTAAACCCATTAAGGTGCTTGCTAAAAATGAAGACTAAGCCCTAGGAAGAGTTTGAAGGGGTTTTGGCCCTAAATCTTGGAGTTTACGGCCTAAGGAGCATCTTGGCCGTAAACTCCCTTCCAAAGTTGGTTTCTAATTGTTTTGTGGGTCTAAATCATGAGTTTAAGGCTTCTAGGTTCTTGTTCTAAGGCTAAAGGAACCCTAGGCACTCATTTGTGCCCTTTACTTGGAGTTTACGGCCCAAGAGGTTGTTCCTTGGCCGTAAACTCCTCAAACTACTTGCTTTTGATTTGTTTCTAGCCTCTAATGATCATACACTAAGTCCTTAGTTAGATGCCTAACACGGAAATGGGACTAGGTGGCTTTTAGGCTTGATTTTGGAGTTTACTCCCCAAGAACGTTCTTGGGCGGTAAACTCCCGGATCTTGTACTTTGGACATGTAAATAATGTTATTAATTATATAACAAGTATTAAAACACATCTATGAAAGTAGAATCACAATCTGGGATGAAAACCCAAAGATCCGTGAGAGAGTATTTGGCTTTTCTCTAATTGGAAATCAAATAATGAACCAATTTGGTTCAGAATTCTATTTATAGTCTTGAGATTTTTGGCAGAAAATATTTCTATTCTCGGAATGGATTCTAATGACCTAGAGTAATGGAATTACAGTGTTGCACAAAATCCTAGTGCATCCACTCTCCTAATAACTCCTTAGGTGTAAAACCCTAAAACTGCCAAACTTATTCCATAAGTCTGAATTTTCACTGTAACTGCTCTACTTCTATTGGATTGAAATGGTTTGATTTAGAACAGAAATTTCGGGTTGTCACATCAT